GGAGATGTTCTCCCTCACCTCCTCCTATACACGAGACACAGACCATAGCACTAGTCAGTGACTGTGGTTACATGCACAAGTATCCTAGTATTCTGCATATCCATTGACTGCTGTTAATTCAGTTACAGTTTGAGACAAGGTGTGTGAGATATTACCTGAGAGTTTGAGCTGAGGGCAAATTTGGCCAGTGCACAGGCTTTGGACAGGTCAATGAGCAGGAGAAAGAACGGCAGGGCTTCACTGCAGGAAAATGAGCCCAACGTCAGTCAGCGAATCACAGTGTCATAATTCACTGCCATTTTTGCCCTCATTGTGGAGAAGTTCCACAAGTGAAACTGAAATGTTTGTGTCCTCTGTGACAATGTCGAGCTTTGAGACCCTTCCAGTGATATTTCTGATAACAGCATTGAATCAAATAACCCATGATCAAAATGAATGTACAGTAAGTTTTAACCAGAATCTGTCGTTCTTAACAACTGTGCACCGCTATAACAGAAAGAGGACACAGCACAGTGTATACCCATCACCTGACTGACCGCCAGCTCGAATGCACGTCATCTGAAAGGGTGGATCTCACTGCCATACTACTTATCTTTTGCAGGGGTCAGCAACCTTAGGCATGCATGCCATCATTGGCACGCTGTAGTTTAACCAATGACACACTAGCAGTAAGTGTGCAAGAGTTCTTTTGCCCTCTCAACCACACACAACTCTTTCGCAGCCACCGGCAGTTGCTCTCCCTGTCTTATTACTGTTTATATGATTTCATTTGACAGATGAGGATGTTTTCATAAGGATGGCAGCCTTCTTGTAAAGTGCAACGTCCTGATGTACTGTATGTACATGGCTTAGATGGACTGAATCAAATTACAGACCTGTGTGATGATTTGAACACTAAAAATGTTGCTGACCCCTGATCGTATTTACAAGGTACCTTAATACAACTTCTAAAATAAAGTGGTTGTCTCTTAATGCTACACGCACAGAACATAACAGATAATTAAG